ACAAAACCTTTGAACAGTTATTGAAATTGGTTTAATTATAGTGATCAATGCAAAAGACTTTTGGACCCTGTAAATCTGCACTGTGCTTTCATACTGAAAAGCACTGCAGGATTGAGGATTTGGATGCTATGACAGACAATTTAGAGAACTGAAAACTCAAACCAGTGCCATGTCACAGTGTTGTGTGCTTTTTACTTTTAAATTAAAGCTAAATATTTTCCCGTCATGCATGTTTGACCATCCTGAGCAAGATTTTCAGCGTTTCACCTCGGGTGCTTCAGCTCTGACTTATTGAGTGACTCCTTTCAGACTGCAGCCTACAAATGAAAAGAAGCAGAAAGTAAAAGTCTTGCTGCTTTTTTTTTTCTCCCTATGCTGGAAGCATACAGATAAGAGCATTAGACTTGTTTGTCGTTTCCTAACCCTCGATTGCGGCTATTAGATGCTCTCTGGAAGAATAACAACGGAGCAGAATACGAATCAGCCTTACTGGAAGAGTGGGGTTAGCTGTCAAAGTTTTGTGAAAATTATTCCACAAACTCTGCCTTTCTGTTTTACAATATAAAAGCAATTAAAATGGAAATCGAGGAAATAATAAAGTAAAGATTAACAGGACAAAGTTTATGTAGTTTGGTCTGCATTCTGATGTGCTGTTCTGACACTGAAGTAAAATAAGAGAGGGAAAGCCTCAGAAGATGAGTAATGCCTTATCTACGGCACACAGAGGTATTGATTATATAATTTTGAAGAATTTATTTCTGTTCTGTGGCATTCTTGAAGCAGGCACCGCTAGGAACTGGTCAACATTCTTTTTCACTTTTGCAAAACCTTAGAAAAGCTATCCTCAGAATTTCTTTGACAACACAGTAACATCTTTTCTGATGTGTCTGATGTCTGTCTCCCTTCTTTTTGTCCTTTGTTCACAGTGTTCAGGAACCCGGTATGCAAAGTGTACAGATTTCAGACAGTGGACAGCAAGTGGATGCTTGTGCGGGAACAAATGGAGGAGTGCACTTTGTCATTTAGCATCCCTAAACAGCTGCTCTCACTCTACATTCAGGAAGACATGAGCAGGTAAGCTCATCCCAGGTGTTGGTTCATGTCCACTCTGTGCATAGACTAGCACGTTAACTAAAGGTGAACTCCCTACAACCCCGTAACATTGCAAGATTTCCTGGTTTAGTTTTAATCCTCCACCTCACAGCAGATAATAGAATGTTTAAAGCCAGCTAATCAACCAACAAAGAAAAATCAAATACCTTCTTTATTAATTCCTATTTATGCCTTCTTTAATTTGAAAAGTTGATTGAAAATATATTTGCGGCACAAAGTCACTTTTATACTTTAAAATATTACATAATATTTAATATTACATACTATCTACAAAGGAAACAAAGAACATGGAACACAAGTAACAAAATACAGAAAAAATCTAAACGAACAAGATGAAAAACACCAAAGTTACTTTGTTATACCTTCTTTTATTTTCCTCCTTTAAAAGATCTAATTTCCTCCCTCCTTGGTATTGATTCGTGCTTTCAAGACACGATATGGCCAATGAGAGCATGGAAAACTTTATTGCTTTGTCTTGGGGCATATCTATTGCTCCATTCTCCTGTCTTAAAACATGTATTTGCTCTAAGGGACCTGAAAAATGCATCAGTAATATACAGAATGAGGTTAACAGTGATTGTCACAAATACATATGTGTGAGTGTATCAGAGGTGATTTAGCATTAAATCTTCAAAGTAAACAAACCACATCTCGTCAGGAAATCATTGATGTGCCAGATTTTGTAGGAATAGAAAAAAAACATGTGGTCCATCCTAAACTCTAGTCTTGTTTTACATTCCAGTTGCCTCTCGCTATTTCAGCTCATGAGATGTAATTTAGGAATTTGATTATCTCAAGGGAGTGTAAATTTCTTCTCTAAGAAAGTTTATGGCTAGTGGGGCAGTATGATGAAGTGCAGCTTTCAAATCATATCAGAGGAACAAAGGTGAACTTAATTTGAAATTCTGTTTATCTCCTCTCAGGCAAGTAAAGTTCCAACAATTTTGCAAACTTGTGTGTTTGAGTCAAACATCCAGCACAGGAATGTCAATGGGTCTGCCAGAGATTAAGCATCACTTATTCATACTCTGAGTTTGCCACACCGGATATAATTAAGTTAGTTTGTTATTTCAACTTGAACCGCTGACTTCGGCTCACACAGCTAGAGACTGAAAGAAAGCTCCCGGCTGTCTTCCAGGCAGGTGAAATCAATCATTTGCATTTTTTTTCATGAGTCTCCACATGTGGGGCTGTGATCAGACATCGCGATTAAAAGAACCAGCACAATACCAACTCTTCTAACCTTGAGCTCACGAACTTGACTGAATATTGGTGTGCCTTCTTCCCAACACTCATCAAAAATCTTTTACACCGGTGTGCTCGCATATACAAAGCTGCTTATTGTGGAGACATTGCGTGTTTCTTGCCTTGTTAGAAAAAGTCTTACTTCTTTGAGCCTGATCTGCCGCTCTCAAGTCAGAGCCAGCAAGCATTTAAAAAAAGACCAGTCCTAACTGTTGTTAGGCCTGTGAATCTACATCATCTTTAAATGTTATTCTGATGCTCTCTGTAAAAACAATTACGCCACTGAGGTGTTTAGTCCTGCACACCTCAAGTAGTGGTTTAATCCGTTAAGACGGTGCCCTCTTTTGACAATTTCCCCACACCTTGACAAATGCATCAAACCCAATTGCAGCTTCAGGCTACAAATTTTTACCCAATGAAAAACATTGGAAAAATGTAAGTTTACTCCAGCAAAAATTGTCTGGTTATGAGGAGTCAGGGATTACTAGGTAATGCACCACAAGTCTTTAAGTTCATTAGCAAAGCCTGTTTCCTCAAGAGTCAGAGGTGTTTGCCAAGATTGGTCATTCTGCAACTGGCCTGTTTTCCCGGGCAACTCTCCCGCTGAATAACACCAAAAATAATGTATATATGCCTTTCTAAACTTGCGCATCTTCACTTAAATTCTGTCAATATCAAATTAAACTTGGAAGTAGGAGATTTCAATTTTTGGCTGGATTTATTTTACAGCCATATCCTCTCAAAGTCACATTCAGGTGCTGGAACATCCAAACAAACAAAGTGACTCCCTCCATCACAGACTCACAGATATACACATAAAAACAGACACGAAGCAATTATAGAGCGAGTCCTGGGACAAGCTTTCTCGTCAGTTCACCTGTCGCACAGATGGATCCGTTCACCTGCCAGCACTTTGTCCTCTATTTGTATCTCTAGCCCCAATGTCTGTGTTACCACAAGGTGATCTGCTCCTCAAACTGATAATGTGGGTCACAAACAAATTTAGAGTGCTATTTTGGAATTGGCCTATATCATTTGTAAAACGTCGCACAAACATGCCTCAGGGTCCAAATCATGAGTGGCCGACACAATGTTGGTCATTGATATGCATGTATGTAGTTTTATATCTCTTGCCTGATCAGTTAAGTTCCTCTCCTGTAATCTCTTGAAATGCTGCCTTTTGCCATAGCTCCGTTTAGCTCCAGTTCTTTCAGCAGAGCTCACAGTTGTGCTGGCTCAGGGTTTTTAATGATTCAGTTAGTACTTCAAAGTTGCAGCAGCGGATGGTGGGTGGCTTAGTTTGCTCAACCACTCCTTGATAATCCTGGATATTTCTTCCTTGTGTTTGCTGGCTTTGATGACTAAACTTGTGCTCTAATCTACCTGTGCGAGCACAGAGGAAGTTGATTTTTCTCCATCGCTGCAGGCATGCTGCCCCGGATGTTTGTGTCTGTGGAGATAATGCATGTGTAGTAAAATGTGTGGGTGTGCAGTAGATTAAACCTCATTCATTAACAGCCGTCTGCTGTGTTATTAATGGAGGGAAGCATGTCTCTCTTCTTATCATGTTAATTAACATGCACCAGAGTTTGTGTGTTAACATCATGGGTTGACATTTTTGACATTTGACTTTGTTTCTATTTGTTCTGTACTGAGTTTTTGGCCATTATGTCATTCCCTGACAGCTATGTCATGTTTCAGTAAAAAAAAAATAGAATAATAATTTGATAATTGTCAGCTATCACGCTTTTGAATAAATCAAGAGTAAATCAACATTTGAGATGTTAATTTTCTATTATAAGTGACCATTTTTCATTCTTTATATCTGTTTTGGGCTGTAAAACACTTTCTGTCCCTTTTATTTTCCACTCTTCTCTACTCTCATGTGTTTTTTCCCTCTAACCTATGCTCAATTAAGTTTCTCCTCTAAATTAATCTAAATCCTGCATCGTAGCTACACTGTTGTCAGCATTTAAGCCATGAAGTGTAGCTACAGTTTTCCAGTACAAGTCAGTGTTTGTTTGCATCTGAAAACAAAAGTTATTGGATATAATTCCAGTTCTATGAGTTAATTTAGAGCATCAGTCCCCTGTTCTGTAATGAATGCAGTGCAGAAAGGAAGAAAAACATTGGAGATGGTAAGTACAGCTATTATGCTGACTGTGTCTATACAATGACTGGCAGAGTTTGGGGAATTGCACAAAGGCTGAATACTGATTACTGTATTTTGCACAATCTTTATATAATTAAACCTTTACCATTTTGCATTTTCGGTTCTGGTGACAGACAAATACACAGTAAATCAAACACTGTCTGCTCTTTTTTTAAATTCCTGATCAAAATCAAGGCAAAAATGTAGATGTACTGACTAAATGACCTTTTCCACATTTAATGCTTTCATTGTATAAAAAGAGTTAAGTATCAACAAGGTGTTAACAAGCAATTAATGGTTCATCAGCCGCTGTGAATAGGTGCTTAAAAGCAGAAGTTATGGTCTGCTGCTCTGCAACACGAAGGGGCATGTTAACACATTGCCAGGCAGCAAAGATGTCAGCAATTGATGCTACCCATCAATTTGGTAGGGGTCATGAGAGCATTGGAAGCTATTCCATCATTTTACAGTGTAGAAAGATTATTCACACATGGGAAGCATTCAAGACAGTTTCCTTCCTGGGAAGGAGCATCCCAGTAAGTTCACCGAAAGGTCAGATCATGACATACTAAAAAAATAATTGAACGGCTACACCTCAGACGACTCAAAGACTGAACACGTGTAGCTAACTTTTGTTATATGCAGTGTTTTGCATGAGATGGAGATTTTCTCTCTTTTTTTATTTAAGAACATGGCAGTATACCTTAGGTTTGTAATATTGGATCTATCAAAACACACCAAAACAGCCTTTGGAATAATGTCCTTTGATCAGACAAATGAATTCTACAATTGGTCAAAACAAAACACAATTGTTCTCTTCATAGTTGTTCTCTCCACTTACTGTGTCATTAAAACTTTGGGAAAAATACAAAATGTATATTATCAAATGTTACCTTTTAAAATATATGCTGTTTGCTGTATGTTTTACCAGTGACTAACCCACTACCAGCAAATTCATTCCAAATCCTATCACACATATTCTCTTTGAAAATAGCACGCTGATTAAGAAATTGGTGATACACCATCCCAAAGCTAATCATATAATTACATGGCATCTTATCCATTTGATGTTGTTTGCTTTAAAAGCATCCATCCTTTCATATATTCCATAAGATTACTAATCTCTCAGGTGACAGTTGAGGGATTTGACCCACAAGTGCAGAATTCTGAGAGGTATGGACTAAATATATAGATCCTAGAGAATGGCAGCATTTGACAAGCCCACTTTCTACTGCTATGTAGAATACTATTCAAATTAGTCTGAGAACATAATCCTCATGATTTTTTAGAATGATTTCTTTATGGTCTTAGGCTCTACTTCAAGCTGTAAGTGGATATTCCAGGAACAATGTGTTTGATTGAAACAACGTGGAGCTGTGGTGTGGCTTCCCTCAGACCTCACCAGCAGGGAAACAGACATGCTGTCATCTTGACATCAGACTAACAGAGCTTTTTTCCCCCCCCCTACTTATTCCAAATAGTTGCCTTTGTTTACCTCAATGTCCAGCTAAAAATGATTTTTTTAATAAGTTAGCATTTGAGTTATTATGGCACTGAAATGTTCTTGTTTTAACTATTACAAATGTTTTCTTTCAATAAATATGCATTATGCCAAAAATGAAAATAATTCTTGTTTGAAACAACCTGCAATCAAATGCTGGTTCTGCTTCCAAATAGCTTCCTATCATCACAGAATTCTGGACCATATTTACTTTGTGTGTAGGGGGGGAAGATAACTAATTAACAGCCTCATTCATCTTTTAGTTGCAATAGAAAGGGGCCCTCCGAACCCCTGGCTTAATCAGGTAAAGTTTATAGATGCATGGACAGGTAGCACATTTTTCCATTAAACCACTGGGGTTATGCACTGGAAATCTCCACCCTGCCACTGACATCTTATTTTATCACACTCTGCTTTGTTTTAGGACACTTCAAAGTTATCTAAATGATCTAAAAGTAATTCAAATTCATTGAAAGAGAGGAATATAATGCTTCTGTATCTGATGCACTGTGTAAAAAGGGTACATCTACTACATTATGCATTCAAGTAATTAAAACACAGTACTAATGGTAAGTTTAACCACAAACATGTTTACATATTGGCTGCTGTTGGAACACATTATTTATGCGTCTGGTATAAAGCGTAAACACTAAACGCTTATCTGGTTGTCATCACTAGAATGCTTCTCACTGAGTAATTGCGATTGTGAATAGTGCATTACAATTCCAGTTTCAATATATCACTGCAATTTACTTTTCAGAGAGTAATGGAGGACTGAATGATATCTGTCCATCTGATGTCGCCTTTCATATGCAAATAGAAACGATGAAAGAAACATTGAGTCCCAGTTGGAATTCCGTCTCCTCAGTCACAAATGTAAACACTCACGTCTGTGAATTGGAAAGAGTGATACACCACTGTTGCATTGTTGGAGTGCTTATCCTGCTTAAACTGTGATGAATTATGTTTGTATGTTTATTATCTATTTATAGCTAAATCCAGTTGTCTTCTTGTATATGTATTTTTCTCTGTAGGGTGCAGGATCTGAAGGAGTTAGGGGAGCTCTCTCCTCACTGGGACAACTTAAGGAAGGAGGTGATGACACGATACAGAGGAGTCATCGGTTCTTACCAGGAGACTTTGGCTGAACTGGACAAGATCACTGGTAAGAATGTATATAGTTTAAACATGAACAGCACTGAGACAAAGATCCCTCCTAATTACTTTACATATTTCTGAATGGAAGGGAAATAATGTGCAAACAGTGATTGATTTCATTTCTATAAATCTTCCTCAGGAATATTTTAACAGGCTTTTTTAATAAATTTTCCAAAGCTTATGTCCTGTTCTCCATCAGAATCACCCTACACACCTTCAATTATTTTTAGGTGGACTCTGAGAAGGACTCATTATTCCATAAAACCTGCTACCGTTGTTTTATAGAACAGTTCTGGTGTCCTTTGGCATGTTTTGTATTTCCTCTTTGTTTCCATTCCATAAGACGGGCTTCTTGACAGTCAGTCTTCCATGGAGTCTGTTTGTGATGAGGCTTCAGCCAGCAGCAGATGGATCAACTGATGGTCCAGATGCATCTTTTCAGTCTGGTGTCAGAACTTGCTGGATTTTGTCCTATTTCTCGTGCACAACACATTCAGTAACTGTTATCTGCTAGAAATGGTTTTATTTCAATCAGTTGCTCTTTCATTCTCCGCATATTCAGTTTTGTCAGACTTTCTGAGGGCACACTGCACACCGTGATGAGGTATGCCAGTCTTTGCAGCTTGCAGCTGTTTGGGAATCATTTGGTTTGAGCACAAATCTATCATAACTCTGTGTTTATTTAACTTTGTTAAGTTGCTCCAACTACTCCGGTTTATTCTTTTATTAGACAATTATAGCTCAAAATATTCCCAAACAACATTAGGCAATAAAGACTAAATAAAAGTATTAATTTAAACTGAAGGATATATTTAGGAAGACTTATTTCAATAAGTTGCTTATTACAGCTACTATGGCAACTCAAGTTTAATCATGGTTAGTTGAAATGTGTGTGTTCCCTTGTGCTCTTCTGTGCCTTGTTAAAGTAAATGCGTGCACTGCTCATAAAAACTTATACAGATCAGTTCTATGTGAAATGTTCTATATAAAAAGATCTTGCATCCACTGTAATCTATAAACAAGCAGTAAGCTAATATTTGCAGCATGCTTTTTTTCAAATGTTTGCAGAAATTAAATGAATCCCCTGGTTAGATGCAAATTAAGAGCAAGAAGTAATCAGGTTGTCTCTCTTATCCTTACAAAATGAAACAGCAAGTGCTTATTTTCCTGAACACTAGTGATGAGGTCTTTAAGATTAATTTGGAAAAATATTTGTTGTGTATTTATTGTTATGCTCTCAAATGCAAAGTGTACATGTACGCTACATGTAAGACTAGCATTGGTCAATAATTTATTTACCTCAGCTTCCTCTCTGCTCCCCTATACTCATTAAATCATCACAAATTCAAATATTATTATGACCAAACATTACTGACTGGCCCACTCACTGACCCATGCTTTCCAATCTGGGCTGTGGCCTCATTATACATTATGTATATTGATATGAAGGGTATATTTTAGCTTGCTATGGACTTTTGGAACTTTACGACTTGTAAGTAAGTCACCCTGATCCACTCCTGAACCTTTGATGAGATATTTGTCTGTTCATTTTTGCTTTTCATGGCCGATAAGTACTTTAATTTGCTCAGCTCCTGGGTTGCAGAAGCCCTAAGGAGGTGGGTTATGGGGCCAAAAAGGAAGTATAATGTGGCATTGGTTATAGTTTCTGGAGAGTCCCTTGTACATTGAGGATCCTCCACCATATTCTCCCTCAAATTCATTCAGGCATAAAAGTAACAGGGTGATAGACATTGCCAAACCAGCTGAGTGGGCAAGTGGCTGCAGATTCATTTTTGATAGCTAATAAGATTTACAAAGGGCTGAAAGCAGGAATAAAAAGGGACAGATTGTAGAGAAGGCTGAGGATGTGTGTAAAGACAGCTGAGACAGGGTGGGAAGGAATGTAATTACCAGAATAAATAAATGATGAAAAATATGGGTACCGAGCATCATTCATTAAAAAAAAGTTAAAATAGGAGGCTCCTACCCGTTATTTATTCTATTAGACGTACATGTCGAAAGCTGCTTGTCAGAATGTTCTTACACAGGTTTGGCTTAAAGACTTACATTTTGTTCAGGGGATGCCTGAATTATAAAAAAGAACAAATGGAGAAGAGGATGGGAAATATAAAGTGCTTCAATGTGATAGACTTGGCATCTTCCACATTTTTAATTAATGTAATTGGTTTTCTGGGTTTGCGCTGGACCCTGAGGACTGCTGTCCTTAAATAGGATTATTGGTGCATTTGAATTAAAAGAGATGAACCCTTATGCTTGTGTAATTGAAGGTCAGTAGTGGGTCAGTGCGCTTGTCATGTGCTACTGCAAATCAGAAGTGAGAGCATTTTATTGGACAGCTTTAGTTTTAGTTTTTTGTTTTTTTTGCTGTTTTTTTTTTCAAAATCAGAAGAGGTCAAGGTGAAATGGAAAAGACCTCCTTCTCGAAAAACATAGATGTCTTATAACTTTACTGCATCAACTAATTAATAATTCATGTAACTGTTTGCACAAAACTGTCTATCACTTTGTATGATGGCTGGATCTTGAGTGATTCACTTTAGCTTTATATTAAGACGAGTGTTTCAGTCAGATTCATATATATCTGTTAAGCTGATCGTTACGCTTAGTTTTGTATTGGGAATTGTAAGACAGCTCGACATATTGTACAAATTTTTCAGTGTTTGTATTATATTTGACACATCGAGGCAGCTGTTGTTCAGGAGGTAGAGCAGTAGTCTGTAATCAGTAGGTCTGCAGCTTGATTTTGAAGTGTCCTTGACAAGTGCCTACATCCCACATTGCTTCCTATAGATCTATCGGTGCATGGATGTGTCTTTGATTGATTACAAAAAATCCCTGCACAGCTTTTAACACAGTATAGACTATGAAGTGCTGACTGACTATTTGTGAACAAATGTGAATTGTGTAGATGTAAAGTCTATTTAAGACTGAAGAAATTCAAGAACAAGATCCTCGCCGTGTTGGCTGATTCAGCCTCTTTTCACCCTAGCAAAAAGGCAGCCTCTGTGGAAAATAATGTTTTTTAATAATAATGATTTGATTACTCACAATTAACCTGGTGTGTGCAGTTTTTCAGGTTGAGTCCTATTTTTCAGGTTAAAATGATAATGACCAAAAAGTTAGAAGAAAGAAATTGAAAAAACTAATAATCAAATGGAACTGTCAAACATGACTCACTCGTCCCAATTCACACCCTGTTAAAAGTGATTCCACTCGGTACGCAGCATGTGTTCAATTCTCCTTTGTGTCTAACACACATTGCAACTATGTAACTATCATCCTGCTGTGCCCCTCAGCACCATGAGAGTGTAATGATGAAACCCTTCACATACTTGAACAGACTTACACTGATCAGATCAATCTCACTTTCAACTCACTATTTGTACATCACAACTCTTTTCAGTTTAGTTGAGGTTGTTTGGATTCACTAGCACTGAGGCAGAGGTTTCCAAAAGAAAACTACTCTAATGTCTAAAGGAAATGTCAGGAAATAATGAAAAAGAGATAATGGTTGGGTGATGAACACTATTGGCAGCAGATCCTTCTGTCACATAGTTGCCCCCCCCCCCCTGGACAAACAGAATCTTATTTTACTAATTAATCTTCACCGCAGTGGCCACAAGCTAGAGAACTTCTGGATCAGTTTTCCAGGATTTCACTGAAGTAACCTTATAGGAGAGTAACGGCTTACCTGCTTTCTCTTGAAATGTACAGTGCACAGAGTCTCTCCTTAGAGTCCCAAATACACACAAAGGAATAACATGTAAGGGCTGCAAAGAACTGGAATCTCTGCTGATTCAGCTGATGCATGGTGACAGTTGTTTACAAAGGATATACAAAAGAAAAGAATGCTCTGCAGTCGTTTGCTCACCATGGGACAATTTGTGAACACACATTTTAAGACTCCTGGTGATGCTGTAATGCTGAAGTAGACAGGCTTGGAATCTGAAGGAAGGGTCCAATGAGCAATAACCCCATTTAACCTAGCGGCCACAAAGAACAACAGTTTTGTCATAGAATAAATGCCTATTTTCTGATTCAGTGTTCCGCTGTCACATTTAGCTTTGCCTTTGTCATGTTTGGGTTGTCTGCATGCCCCAGAAACAGCCACGCACACTCTCACTCCTAAAGGCAGTTTTGAACGTCCACTGAACCTAACATGCAGGTTTTTGGACAGTGGGAGGGACACAAAGAACCTGGAGAGAACCCACACAGACACAGGGAGAACATGCAAACTCCAGACAGAAATGTCTTGGTTCCCCCTGGTACTCAAACCCAGAACCTTCTTGCTGTTAGGCAATGGTACTAACCACCACACTGTCATTCCATCATCACTAAATATATAATGAATTCTACTTTATGGATGGTGGCATTGTAGTTAGATGTTAATAAAATACCAAAATGGGAACCAAGAGTCTTGAATACTTAAATACTTAAATGTTTATTTTGCATTTGATACTGAATGTATTGTTTACTCTGACTAATGAAGTCATGAACTCAAAAGCATAAATGTGAGCCCATTTTATTCTTTTCTTTTAATTTTATCAGGTCCACAGTACAACCAATGGAAAAGTGGCATGAATTTAAAGTATCTTAAAAAGAATACATGGATGATTTTCAGAGATTGGAAAAGACAACATCCCTGTGAGCTGCAGCCTAATTGTTTCTACATTAATTTTTTAGCTCGCACATCTGTCCTTTAGTGGGTCACTGGAAACTGTGCAATGAGCAGAGTGGATCAGTTTCTGAACAGCCGACGATGTTAGAAAATGTGGCAGGTAACAGGCTTTCTCATTTAGATCGCTATACAAAAGACACTTTCTTTGGTGTTGCAGCCCTGATTTGTCGATACTGGTATGCCACCTCAAGAGTAATTAATGAACAAGAGCAGAGAGACTTTACTCAGCCTAGTTTAGCTCTCATCAAGGAGATTTATGGCACTTGTCAGATAAGAGCTGGAAAGTGTCATTTTAGTCATTATGTTGCAATTAACATATCATTCAAGGCAGAGTGCAGGAATGCTGTGCATCACCTGTAATGTGCCACCACTCAGAAACAAATTAAAGATGTTAAATAACCCAATAATTACTTCCATAAAGACAATTAAAGCAAATATTACCTAAGTATATATTTAAAAATACAGAAATTGGGAAATTTAAGACATGCTTATTTTGGTGGGCCTATCAAATCCCACCATTCGTTTATAAGGTTATTGTACATATTACAAAGTATTATTGCTAATGTTGACAGATATAAAGCACTGCAAGGGAAGTTTTCACCTTCCTGAGGGAAAAAAATCCCTTCCTTTGTTTCAAAAGAACGTGATGTTGTGTTTTCCACATTGACAAAGGCAGATAGAAAACAAAGTGTGTGGGGGCAATTATGGGCCACATCTTTTGTTCGCAGATATATGATTAAATATTGTTGTCCAGAGAAGTTTAATCCTAATCATAAAAAACTGAAGGAGAACTCAATACAGTCACACCTATCTTTTATATAACTGCAGTGTACTGTAACACCGCAAATTTTCTCAACAAACGTGATACAAAGCTGCTGATTCCGAAAACTTTTTATTTGTAAAAAACTGTCATGTTTTTTCCTGCATTTTGATATAAGCGTTTTGAAAATATTTCACATTAACTTTAAAAACTGCAAATATTTTCACATGACAATGCTTTTTTTATCAATTTGTAGAAATTGAAAGAATTCAAAGCACCCTTCTGGTGCTTTTATTATTATTTTTTTAAAACCTTGTTGTAAATATTTTTTTCTTAGAATAATGGTGTATTGGAAGGGGAAAAATTAATTAGAGACGGATGCTCACAATAACACAGCTATGAAATACGTGAGAACAGGTTCAGTAGAGGAGACTTTAAAAGGGATTTGAAAGTGGCCTCTCCGGCTGAGGCTTCGTCATCTCTGTTTATTTGTGTTTTAAGCAGTCAGCGTGAAGTGTCAGAGTTAGATTTCAAGATTAATTCAATTTTTAACAACAAGGAAAAAATTAATTGGGCATTATAAGTCATTCAGCTGCTGCAGTGAACTAAACTGCTCATTAGAGAATATTATCAACACTTGATCAAATAACCCTTCGTGCTTGTTAGTCTAAAATCGATGCAGTCACTTGTTGTTGGTATTCTGATCCATTCTTTTTAATACTGTACTAACATAATAAACTTGTTGCAAAGTAGTTTACATTCCTTAACCTGTGTCTTTCTGTAATCAAATTAAATTTAAAAGAGAAAAGCTGTCTAAATAAGAGTAATGTAATCTGAACACGTATTGTTTGTTTATCTATGATAGAAAAGACTTTCAAAAGGAAAGTTTTATCCCTGAAATCAAGAAATACATGTTTTGTTCTGATATAATTTCAACTTTGTTTTTCTTTGTTCAGGTTGTTCATTCAAGCCAAGCTGCTGCAAAGCCCAGAAGTCTCTGGAGTTCATACCAATAAACTTGCACACACAGAGGATGAGGGTGACGTGCCCCAAAAAGACAGGTATTCTTATGTCCATTGCACACATTGATCTCATAGCGCTTCGACACACGCTGAAGGGCAACTCGGTTTGATGGGGACGAGCTGTCTGATCGCTTTTGCGTGTCCTTATCTGTGTTTGTATTCCATGAGCTGCTCCGGTTGTCTCCTTTTGTCTGTGTGTGCTTGACTTCTCCATCTGTCCAAAATACTCAGAGGCTCAGAGAGGCTGTTTCTAGGTCAACCCCCAGGTTGAAAGGTGAGAATTAGCTTGGCCTTAAAAAAATAGGGAAACGCTAATTAAGCCCTTTGCGTTTTTCCAGAGTGAGCGATGACGCCGTCTCATCTGTTGCTGCTCTAGAGTAGGTTGTTATTGGCTTGGAACTGGCTTGATCTATTAGGGGCATAACTGCTTCTTCCTTATCAGTGAGCGTGCTCCATTTCAATTAAATGTCGGATGATTGATGGACAGATAAAGACAGGCAAACACTAGGATTAACTGTATTTTTTTAAGCAAGGACCTCAGGGATAACAGATAAAATGGGTCAAATCAAGTCACTGAACAGCTCCAAAACTTCTTTGTTCAGTCGTGGTGGAAAGAGTGATAAACTAAACCAAAACTTGAAGAAGTTTTTCGATTGATAGACACAGATAATTACCCTCTCAGGGCCCAATTCAGTCCTTAACCCCCTTTCAGGCAGAGGTGCTTAAGCTGATGTGATGTGAGAGTGTGCATACTCCACCCCTGCCAGCTCCATCGTTTTCTCCACTGGCCTCACAAGGTTAATTAAGAAATTCAGCACGTAGGAAAACATGGACACCAATAAGTATGCAATGGTAAAGCAAACAAATTTCTCAAACTGGGTTTCCATGGGATTTTTTAGGCTACTTTATATTATAAGTTTCTTTTTTAAACTGTCAATAGCCTGTATGTTTAAAGTATTTAATGACACACTATGAAATGTGTTAGACTGCTGTTCAATAACCTCAGTCCCAATGGTTTGGTATCAATAAGCACTGAAATAAACAATCACCTGTTAATGAAAGAATTCATGCGATAAATGTAGATAAATTGCAAATATCTGAAAGTCAGGCTGCCCACCTGTTTTAATTCAATGTGACAGCTTTACTGAGGACCTCCTAATTTTTCCTTCATTTAAAGAAAACTGCTAAAATGAATGCAATCAGTCTACATAATAAACATCAGAATTGTATCATGTGTTACTTTCAAAGCTACATAAATTCTTGTGGTGTTACATTTGATTTTATAAAGAGATGCATTACCCTCAGTGTTTCTGCACAATCTGCTCAGGGGACTCGAAACCATTAATTTTCATTTAGTCTATTGATCATCCAACAAGAAAAGAAATTCTGTGGAAAAGCAGCACTTGAGCTTCTGATCAGAAATACGCTTTTACGAGTCGTTTTCTTCTGTCTCAAAACAAAAGTACATAATATTTCCTGCCTGAAAATATTAGTTAGTCAAATCTTAACTTAAAGCACTGTTCATCAGGATTTTTCGTCCGCTTTTCACCACAGGAAAGCAGGTGGACCTTTTGCTCAATAATTTGAGTTCTTTTGTCTTTATAGTTTCCATTCTTTCAACTGTGTCAGGTTCCTCCTCAAGAAAGCAAGTCACCTCTCAGTTATGCAACACTTCACTCTGCTGTTGATTTAAAATAATTTTTTTAAAAAGATAGTGAGAGTTGAAGCAGAGGTAATTCAAGCTCAAATTGGTGATCGTGCCTGATATTCTGAATCCAACCTTTTTTTCCCCCTTGTACTCCTTTTGTGGTAGAACCAATTAAGGGAACCTGGGTACCTGCAAGCTCCAGGGGCCAAACGTGTAGCAGTCGGACAGCCTTACAACCACACACAGGGATAATTAAAGGAAGAGACAGTGGTAGCAAAGGCCTAACTCCAGAGCACCATTAGTCTGTTGTGGTCTTGTCATTTACTTTTCTGTTGTAAGACATGGAACTTTCGAGTCATTAATTTCTATTTTCAACTGTTTTTCCGCAGTGTTTTTTCCACAACCCAAACTGTGGATTACAGCTTTCTGGGGTACCTGCTTTACTGATCTTGCAACCCCTGTAGTGCCACACATACTCACCGTTTCTTGCCTCGCTTGTTTTTTCAAAATTAATCGTCAACCTTATCCATTACTCATTCAAAACAAGGTCTGTCCTAAGCACCACTGAGCCCACATAGCAGTCTGTGAAAGGTTTACTTACTTTTGAGGCCAATTTGCAAATTAGAGTGAGGTCCTGCGACATTGGCTGTCCTTCTGGTCTAACATGGGACCAACTATGTGCAGACGAAACTGTGTACAGGGAGAGAGGTGTGGAAAACAACAATTACCAATCCAGTTGGGGAATGACATCATTCCCCTTTTTTCCCGCCAGTGGTGCATTTTTTCCATGGACAACTATTCCTCTGAGTTAGTCATTGCATTGTGTGTCTTTATCGATATTTCCCTTTTGATTGGCATTTCTGTCAATAATGTTGTTCTGTTGTGACTTTGTGAGGGAAAATCTCAGTTAGAGATTTAGAACTGCTGATCTTTGTATATCAGTTGTTTTGTAGAATCATCTTTCTCTGCACAGGTCAATCACTTTTCCAGGAGTTGCAATGCTATATTAAATCAAACAAACTAATTATCCATGCATTTCTTTTCCCTCTCTTTGTAGACGCATTCTATGACATCGTCACCGTCGGTGCTCCAGCAGCCCACTTCCAGGGCTTCAAGTGTGGCGGTCTGCAGCGTCTTCTTTTCAGATATGAAGCAGAGAAAAAAAGGTAAAAAAGCAAAACATTTTCACCATGATGGCATATATCCACAGAAAGCATGGGTGATTTAATAGAGGACATATGCCAAGAAAACAGGCTCGCATCGACAGAATGATTTAACTTCATGATTAATAGTGACATACAAATTTGTCCCAGGCCCATGGACTTGATTTGCCAGGTCTGGTGCAGTTACTTACTGCCAAAGCATGTAGAAATTAGACTAGAGCTCCACTGCCTCTGACAGCTTAATGTGACTGGAGGCAACCAGCATGATGGAAAAGGTTTCCTGATTCAGAGGTTCCTTTGCACCTGTTTGTTTCCTCAGCAACGTGGAGCACAGGGTTGCACCCGAAAGTTCTCAGAACACTCTAAGCCGGGTTAATGAGCAGAACTGACATTGTTATTTCAATCACTAACCACTAGTTGTTAAATGCTTTATAGTTTTGCAGTAATCAGTCAATTTCTCCATATTTACTGTGGTGTACAGCTCTTCCTTATAAAGGTAAAGTCTTGGGAATAATAGAAATGATGGGTTTGCTCATGTTTTAAATGATAGCCCATCAATGGCATTTGACTTCATTGACACACAGTCTTGAAATCTGAGGTTGTTTTTGTTTTAGATTTGGTCTATTATAGATAAATGCTGTGCTTCAACTTGATAGATAACATTTGTCTTAAATCTTTAGGTCACTGTCCAACACCACAAATTCCATGCACACTTAAAAGCATTAGTTGAATAAAGGCAAACCGTGGCCCATTTTATATCTAGTGACTGACAATGTACCTTTTGGCATCCATGACTTTGTTAGACCTGAGATCAGCAGTATCCTGTGAATTTATCTGTCTGTGCCCTATAGGTGATGCCGTTATATGTTACCGGAGTTCAGCATGTGGTCATCTGAGTGATAGTAGAAGAAGTGAAAGGTTTTTTTCCCCCTCATTGCTCCCCATAGAGTGCACAGTCATTACAGACCATGCCAGATCTAATTAGTTACAGAGTTTGAAGCTTAGGAAAATGGGAGAGAAGCAAAGAGTAGGGTGAGGTATAGCGCAAAATGGAAAGGAATTATGGTAAAATGGTTAAGGGCTTGTGCTGATAATAAAAAATAAAGAAAGGGCTTTTTTCACACCAGAGCGTACATGTGAATTTGCTGAAGGTGGTCAATTTTATCAGTTAGTATGAACAATGATAAGGTTAGCATATTTTTTGAGAATCCACTGAAGTGAAATGATTTACTTTGAGTAAGAGATTAGACTTCAGAAGGAACTCTCCAGGGAGACAGAGCTTTTTGTTTCATATTTGACTTAGTTAATGACTCACTGTAGCTTGAACTTTCCAATTTTCCGCTTGGCTAACTGACAGAGGCCTGAGCTGGGCCTTGTACAGTTCATGTTTGACCTGGAATGTAGTTGCTTGACAGTCAAAAAAGGGAACAAATTCAAAAACTCTGATTCCACTGACACATATTGCTATTTTAATGATAATGCTTGTTTCCTTTAAACATATCACATGCAGTATTTTATTGTTGAATGTGCTTGTGAGAAGTGTGTTACAAACATCAGACCACCTTTAGAGAGCCAAGAAGGACCACATCAGATGGTGTGCATGTCAATGTGAAGCTCTATGTATGTGTCCAGGTGAGAGTCCCTCACCAGTGCCGTAAGTCAAGCCTATTACAGCAGAGTGAGGATTCATCTGCAGACGCTCATTATACATCTCCCTCTGTAGCTCCTCGCCTTTCAGAGGCAGCCTTTTGTAATCACATCTGATTAAAAAGAGAACAATCGGCAAGATGTGAGACTTGGCTATTCTATGTTATATTAATTCATCAAAGAAAAAAAAATGAAAAAGAATAGAGCATGGGGGAAAAAAGGGAACCTGAGGATAGAGGTGTTACCAGGAGGCCAATAAAAGAGCCATTCGTCTTTGTTCCTTGGACATGAGGAGAGGGCGTGGAGTTCTCTACATAGCCATTAAAAGCTCGCATTGGACAAACTTGGCATTAGGATAGAATACGCAATGTGGTTGGTCTCTGAGGACGGGCAAGGAAAGAGTTTAATTAGAAGCTATACTCGGAATACTTTAAATCCAGATTTCCTACACATACTGCAAAAACATTTATCTTTCATCAGTTAAAGCGCTCCCAGGTAAATGTGTGTATTAAAACGCCCAGGGTTTTGATCCATTTTTAGTGAGAACCCTACAGAACCCCAAACATTGCTGTCTTTCTTCCCCTGTTCACACGATTTAGCTGAAACATGTGATCATGTATCTTAGGAGAAGTCTGTATTTTCAAACACCTGTTCGTTTGTGCAGAAACTGTGCAGGTAGGCTACTCTCAACATGTCTATGAATCCTGTTCACCGGAACTGAGAGGGAAAGAAACACGGCCATTTCGCCAGGCCTCCGAGTCAAGCAGAACTGCCAAATGACACATTTCTGGGGCAAAGAGAGCGGCTGAAACCACATCACACAAACCTAATAGAGTCTCTTGGGGCTGATGTTCAGATTTAGTGTGACTAGCAGCATGTTGTCCAACAAAATAACTTTTTCCCAAGGCAACTGCATGTATGTGTATGAGTGAGGGACAGACTGTTGGTAGTGGCTGGGACTCCATGCTGATGGACAGCAGCTTTCTAGTTCTTTCCCTGTCCTTAAGTGAACATTCTCCAGGTTCTGTGGATGAAGGAGAAAGATGCTGGCAGGAGCCCTGAGGATTCTCTGGTCACAGATCAGGGTCTGTATATGTCTGAATCATTGAGGAAAGCTTTGGCTATTTTTCTGAGAAGTTTAAGATCAGGGCCCACCAAAGGATTTGCGAACTGACAGAGATTGGCATTTAAATCTGGTTTGAGATCAGTTGCTTCAGCATGTATCATTCTAAACCAACCTGTATATCCAGACTGTGTCCTTGTGACTGTGGCCTTGTATATGAAGGCTGATTAAAGCATACAGTCAAAATGACGAAGGGTGTCTTGGCAGGCACTTGAAGTACTGCAGGGCTCTCTGCTGACGTATCTACATTTTACTCCTGCTGTCTGTCACCAGCAATCCACAAGCTCTTTATTAATTTCCTCTCCACAATTAATTAGCCGTGTGCTGGATATTCTCACTTAATTAGGCTGCTGGGCCTGGCATTTTACTTCTTCTCATTACTATTACAAGTCATACCTAACGCAGATTAGAAAAACCAAGAAAGATATTTACCCCCAGGACAGATAAGTGTCTAATGCAATTTGTTGTGAATTAATTCTTTCTTATTTTTTTTTAAATAAAATGTGGTTTGACACTTGTTTGGATCCTTCTCCAATCCTTGTTTATCTATGAAACCTGAATCATAAATGGTGATAATTTCATGAATGAATCAATGTGTGTCAAGTGGACTGTGCACATTGTGCTCAGGGAGTGGCAGCACACCTTTGGCATTTTAATGACCAGGGGCCCGCAGCACACTCTGGGCAGTGAGAGGTGGGATTCAAATGAATCCATTATCATACATTATCAGAGTTGGAGTCAGACAACAATTCCCTCTGAAATATTCCCTGCCTCTACAGGGGTATATTAATGTGATGTTACGGAGTATGCAGAGCCTTGCCTGAGAGGAAAATCATATTTTTACACATGAGATTGAGATTAGCAAGTGCAGCTCTTTCTTTTTAACTCAATCAACCTCAGATATCAATTTTCAGGGTTAAGGCCAACAGGGAAGTGCCAAAAACTAAAACCATTTTGGCAAATGTTTCAGAGCTTACTTTACATAGACTGCAACATTCTAATGCAGCTTTAAGGCAGATATAAATATTCCAGCCACACACAAACAGCGTGGATGTCCAAACCAGTGTCTACCTCTGTGGCAACTTTAGAGGACTGAATTTTATCTTGCTAATTTAAATCATATGAAAGCTTAATGTTATAAATGGAGCCACGCCAGCTATCCAGTTCAGGTAGGCGACTCAGACTGCTCTGTGGTCTACCATGTGATCTGTCTCACACTATGCGCCATTTACCAAACGCTCCTCTCCTATCTCGACTGTCTAAAATAGCTGAAAAGCTCTCTGCTGGTTGCTGATGCCCTTTAACCCCGGACACCGGCTGCTGTTCAGCGGCTCTTGCTTTCTTCACCCTGTTTATGGAATTGTTTTCTTACCTTGCAGTGTTCTTGGCCATCATGTCTTTTGCTGTCTCCAGTTCATAGAAAGACTTGCATTTCTTTAGGACAAGATGGCATTATTGCTGAAGCCAAATGCTCAACCTTCCCCGTGTCCCCTCCTTATCGGTGCAGTCCCTACAAACCAACGCTACAATGGCTCTCAGACTGGTCAAGCCCTGCTTTGAGGATGAGCTCATGCTCGCAAAAAGCCAACTGAATTTGATCCCAGCCCTGTCTTGAATCTTCTCTCATGTCTATGTTTCATTGGATGAAATCTGAATTTACTTACATGAAAGAAAGGCTTGCATCTTTAAAAATACATTTATTAATTCTACAAACTCCCATGTATCATCTGCAATCACCCCTGGCCTGACGATTTTGTCTTCCAAAAACTTGGCAGTCTTCCAGCTTCCTCTTGATGTAACCCCTCTGTTGGGTTCTGGGAACTCAGGTTTGAGCAATATCAATTAGCTCCAGGTTCCTGACTTCTGCAGGTCAAGACTGTTGATATCTCTGATTCTGGGGAATCAAATTCTATTCTGCATTCACAATATTTTCCTCTTTTACTATTTTCCATACGTTTTTGTGGATCTAACTACTTCAGCATACTTCCGCTGATTTGTGAGGTATGAAATTGTTGACTTCTGGTTAGTTGGTTTGGTTTTCTCATTTTTATAGTTTTTCAGTTCCATTTCAATTTTTTTCTCTTAATTTTTAATTACTTAGAATTTGTTTAATTTAAAAAGTTTTTCTTCTGCAAACCTTTCTTTCAAACCCTGTTTCTAATGAATCAAACTCAATTTATTTACCTTCATGTGCTCTCATTTTACAGGCAGTGATATAAATTTAGTAGAAATT